ATCCCAAGGTACTTGTAGCTGTCCTCAACATCTGCTATGTTGCCTTCTGGTAGTACAATCCCCTCAGTTCTGTCTACCTTTCCTCTCCTTGTTATCATTCGACCACACTTATCCAGTCCGAATGACATTTCGATGTCCTGGTTGTAGAGCCTAGTGGGTGTGGATCAATGAGTCGATGTCTCATTCACTCCTGGTATACAGCCTGATGTCATCCATGTAGAGGAGGTGGGGCATGGTTGCTCCATTCCATAGTCTGTATCCGTAACCAGTCTTGGTGATGATCTGGCTGAGGGGGTTTAGGCCTATGCAGAACAGTAGCAGGGACAGAGTATCTCCTTGGTAGATACTGCACTTGATGTTGACTTGTGCAATTGGCTTGAAGTTGGGCCTCTAGGGTTGTTTTCCATATTCCCATTGAGTTCTTGATGAAGGCTCTTGGAGTCCTGTCGATGTGGTATAATTCCAAGCATTCCAGGATCCATGTGTGAGGCACTGAGTCATAGGCTTTCTTGTAGTCAATCCAGGCAATGCACAGGTTGGTATGTCTGGTCTTGCAGTCTCGAGTAACTACTTTATAAAACAGTAGCTGGTGCTTTGCTCCTCTGGTGTTACTACCAATTCCTTTCTGAGCCCTGCTCATGTATTGAGCCATGTGCCCGCCCATTTTAGCTGCTATGAGGCCTGACAGGAGCTTTCATGTTGTGCAGAGGCAGGAGGTAGAACGGGTCGTTTCCTAACTGGAGGATTAGTGGTTCGATTCCTGGCTTGTCCAGTCAACGTGTCGAAGTGTCCTTGAGCAAGACACTGAACCCCCAGTGGCTCCCAGTGATGTCACCGGTGTGTGAATTTGAGAGTGCGAAGGGGTGAATGGCCGAATAATGTCAAAACGCTTTGAGTGTGCTGTGAAAGCGTAGAAAGGTGCTATAAAAGACCATTTACCCCTTTCTTCACCATGCCTTTCTGCAATTCTGATAGCTGGCCAACTTCTCTCCTTGCTGCCTTGATCTTGGTCTCCAACCTCCTTCTCCATGGAGGATACTGTTCCTTATGGCATTTGTTGAACTTATAGCCAAGCATCTCAAGGATGACGGTTGGTGTGGTGTATATGAGCTTGTTGGCCACAGCGGTTCCATCTTGCTCGTGATCTTCAATCTCAGGTCAGCTGCTCTTGATTTAAGCTCATCTGGGCTTGTTATTGGGGCTTGGTACCCAATCTCCGATTGTGGGGGTAATGATATCTGCTCCCTGTACTGGTATCCTGGCTCCCCCTTGCTGGAGCATTAGTGTTGTACCTTGTCAATCTCTAATAGGAAAGGAATGTCACTTTCGGCTTTTCCCGTTTAGGGGTCGCCACAGCAAATTGTCACACCGACGACTCGCATGTTGACATTTGACACGTGTTTTACGCCGGATGCTCTTCCTGACGCAACCCTGATTTGAACCCGGGCCGCAGCGGCGAGAGTGCTGCGCCTTAACCACTAGCCTGCCAGGGATGGCTCTTTAATATAAATATATATATGTATATTACTATTGTATTGCTGCAATATCTGAGGGGCTGCCAAGACTGAATTTCATTGTAATTATTCTTCTAAATGAACCCCTAAGCATCTTTTTAGCCTAACATTATAGATCTGTTGATTATTTAATTAGTTAATCATTTGGTTTATAAAATGTCTAAAATCTGTGGTTTTGTTACAAAGCACATGGTGATGCATTTAAATCTTATTTTGACAGCTCAACAGTTCAAAACAATTCAATTTAGAGAGAAAAGCAGTAAATCCACACACTGGAAAAGATGCCACTAGAGATCATTTGGTACTTTCACTCGAAGACTTAATTAGTCAATTATCTTTGTCTAAACTAGTAAATTAACCAACTAATCATTTTATACCGCCTAGTAAATATCTCAAGGAAAAAAAACTTTAATCTTACATCAAATTAAGTCATGTGAAATGTTCTAAATTACACAAGGACAATGTTGTACAAACACACACATACAGCCACAGTTTTGTTTATAATATTTAAACAAATAATAAGGACTGTGTGCCATACTATTCATAGCTACTCCTACATTCAATAGTTACTTCATTAAGTACATCTGTATAGTCTAGTACAATCCCATACAACAGTTCTGCCATGAATTCTACTTTTAGTTGTAGTGGGTGGTGTTGTATTCAAGTGTTTCTAATATTTTGGGCACAACATTTACATTACATTGGAGGGCCAGAAGATTAAAAACACCTTTCAAAACACACCACAACTACAGACACAATAATAAACAAACGGAAGAACAAAAACATTCATAAGCTTCGCAAATGCAGGATTGATGATGGAGCTGTTGTACTGGATTGCATTAGGTTTTACAGGTGAACTAAGCAAAGCGGTGTTATCATTAGGCATGGCCTATCTTTACAGTTCAGATAGTGAACAGCAGCCATCAACCTCTGGGTTTGCCCATTAAGCTTTCTGTGGCTTCGAAGCACTTTAGCCTGATAAAGACTGACTGAGCAACAGATCTCATGATGGAGCAGGATTCTTATCTAATATAGATGAGGCTTCTGAGATGAAGGATGACGGGCTGATTAGTTAGGACGCAAGAGGGCAGAGATAATGTACAATCTCTCGGGGCATGCTCCTGTGCTGGCAGCATTCAGGTAAGTGTGTGTGCCTACTTGCTGTATCATGCAATTCTGTCACAGTGGGCCAATTTAGGACATTCAGGATGAGGTTGCAGGGCTGGGTGAGACATGCTGCCTGTTGAGTACAGGTTGTTCTACCAGTGGGAGAAAGACAGAGGGCCCTTTTGGGGATAGTGAGGCTGGCAAACATGGGTGGATGCTAATACTCTGTGCCAGAAGCTGTTGCTATATCAAAAAAAAACATGCTAAAGAGAAGAAAAAAAAGAGCACAAATGATAAAGTGTAAGGTAAGGTAAGCTTCTACTAACCTTTCATGATGTTAGCATGAAAGGACAAACTGCTACACATGGTACATGGGTCAGCCACTATTCAATATCTTGCTCGAGAATACTTTAATTAATGTTTGCAAACAGTGGTTGGAAGACAAGCCCTGTAGCTGGAGGATACTCTGACTGCAAGAACAATGTGCCAACACAAAAATGGTAAATCCAGCACAGAACTGGCTGCCCTGTTTTAAAGCTCAATACAACATGCAAGGGCATGTATAACCCATAAACAAATTAAGACAGGAAACCCACACCTTTTCAAAGGAAATGACACATCTTATTCCATCAGTAACAGACACTAGAAAAACACACTGCCTCTACTGTGTTGTTACATACATATGTTTCTATACATCCTAAACACAGAGAAGCCTCTACCAAAATCCCAACCAGTTTGTACTGACATAATAATACTTTATTTATATAGCACTGTATAACTCAGAGTGCTTCACCCCAGAACATGTATAAGTGCTAAAAAGCACTACTAAAACAATAAAAACCTAAACAATATAAAACACAGAATTTCAAGGTAGAAACAGTAAAAAAAAACTTCCATACCAGAATACAACTGGAATAAAACAACAAGTTAAAATGTCTGTGTTGGATGAGGTAAGATGGGTTAAGCACCAAAAGCCTGTCTAAAAAGGTGGGTTGCTAGAGTTGACTTAAAAGCCGCCAGCTCGGTTATGGACCGTAGCTCTAGCGGTAGAGAATTCCAGAGTCTGGGGCCATACACAGCAAAAGAACGATCGCCCCATTTTTTGTATTGAGACCGTGGGACAACCAAGGACTGATGTTCTGAGCAGCGCAGAGCTCTGCGCGGAGCATAAATAGGCAAAAGATCAGACAGGTATGGAGGAGCAAGGCCATTTATAGACTTAAATACAAATAGTAGCACCTTGAACTCAAGTTTAAACTGTACTGGCAGCCAGTGTAGTGAAAGAAGAACAGGGGTGATGCGGGCATACCTGGGGGTGTTCGACAACAGTCGAGCCGCAGCATTTTGGACCAGTTGAAGCTTCCGGAGAAGAGACAGAGATTCCAACATAGAGGGCATTACAGTAGTGAAGTTGCGAGGTGATAAAAGCATGGATAACTTTTTCTAAGTCTTAGTGCGATAAGAAGGGCTTTACCTTCGTTAGGAGTCTCAGGAGAAAAAAAAGCTAGATTTAACCACGGACCTGATCTGCTAATTGAAATTTAGGCTGCTGTCAAATATCACGCCAAGATTTTTCACGGTATCCATGAATGAAGGGGCTGAAGGACCTAAAGTCGATACAACAGCAGCTGGATCTGAGCTAAAAACAATGTATTCAGTCTTGCTCTCATTTAAATGAAGGAAATTCTGCGATAACCACTGCTTAACATCGCGAATACAGTTATGTAGCGGGGCAAGTGCATTAGAATCGCATTGTATCAATGGCACGTAAATTTGAACATCATCTGCATAAAAGTGAAAATGAACATTATGTTTTGATATGATTGAACCAAGTGGTGACATATTTAAAGAAAAGAGCAACGGGGCCAGAATCAAGCGTTGGGGGACACCTGAGGTAAGAGGGGCTATGGTCGAGGAAGAATCGTCAATAATGACAGAAAAGGTTCAGTTGGACAGGAAAGAAGTAAACCATTCTAGAACCACGCCTCTCAGGCCGACAAGGTGTTCCAACTGGGAGAGCAAAACTGCATGGTCAATGGTGTCAAAGGCTGCCAATAGATCTAGAAGAACTAGAATAACGGGGCGTTTGGCATCAAGGGCCATAGTAATATCGTTATGGACCTTCAGTAATGCAGACTCAGTGTTGTGACAAGGCCTAGAACCTGATTGAAACTTATTAACAACATCCAGACGACATCTCTGAGATCACAGGCAAGACACCCTCTCCAGATTGATACTGGTGATATAACTGACCTATAGCTGAACTTTTTCTCTGACAACTGAGCACATGAAATGAAATCCCTAATCCACAGTGTCAATGTACATAAGTCCACAGCAGATGGGCGCACAAAGACTCAACATACTTTCAACAATACTTACTCAAAGGTGAAGAAAAGTCCACTAGTCACAAGAATGAGGACAAGGGTGAGGCAGAAAACCCCTGTCTGCCTGGCCATCATAATCCTCCCATCACAGTAAAATTTACTCCGACCCGGGAAAGACTCCCACTTCCTCTTCCTTGAGGTCCTTTTCTTGTACGGGGTCTCCATCGGTGTGGAGCTGCGAGTGCTTATTTGGCTGTACTCACACTCTCTCATGGACTCAGATACCCCGAGATGCATCAATTGCTGATGAAAATCGGCACAGCTGGATAACCCCTGGGGCAGATGTGCCTCTGTGGGGAAAAAAACAACCCAGTTCAGTTAAGCAACAAGCCAAATTCATAACTTTTCAGACAAATGCATAGGGTGGAACACTGTGACTGAAAAGTATGAGACACACTTCCTGGTATTAACAACGTAGAGCTAATGCTCACTTTACATTTGTGTAGTTTTCCAAAGACCTATCTCGCTTTATGTGAGTTAGGCAACGTTAAAGCTACAAATATAGATAGTAGTACAGGTTTAGCGGACCTCACGTTAGCTAACTTGGCACTTAACTTCACTGCCAGTTCACACATAGCATAGATTAATCTTTGAAAGCAAGCAACCTGCCTAGCTTTAAACTGAACCTAAGGTGCTCCTAAGGCTAACACAGCTAGCAAGTTGAGATGACTGGTAAGTTAACGTTGGCCGACTTTAGCGATTAACTAGCTACTAGGTTAACTAGCTTGATGGCCATTCACTTCACCCGCTACACGCTTTTGACTTGGCTATTTTACTTCCAAATCTCTCACTAATCTGGAGCTAAAATGCAGACGTAAGTGTGCTCTTCCACTGCTGTCGGCCACATTAACATTACAGACAGTGAGGCTCCACAGCCCGATGTGTTTGTATGTGCCGTAGCGGCAGCTGAAGCGCTGCCTTACCGACGGAGCACACCGCTGGTCGTCGTCACGTAGCTGCTCCTCTCGTTATCCAGGTTTGTTCCGAGCCGAAGACAAAGCGAAGAATACCATTTTTTGGAAGTTTACAGTGTGAAAATGACTTTTAAATGGGCCTGGTCGTCGCCAAAGAATAACTTGGTTTGAAAAGGGAAGGGAAATCCGGAGAACACACAGCGGGGTGCTCTCAAACGAGCGCCAGCATCCCGACTGTCTGTCGCTCAAACAAGACACTGTGAATGCTTGCGCACAACACGACCCGAGCAGGACCTTACAGCCATATGTCCTGGTGTTTCACTGCAAAAGTCGGTAACCAGACGTCAGAAACCTTCAACATTCAGCTCTGCTTTCGAAAAAGTTGCAGCAAGCATTCCACCAGAGGCGTGCAGGCGGACCAGTCGACAACCCTCCGCTCACTACGTGTCCCTGTCCGCACACAGCGCCGCCACCCCGCAAACAAACAGCAACATGGGAGTGGAGCAGCGCCTCCCAGCCCGCTCCGCCCCCTCCGACCGAGGTTGAAATCTCTACTGATAAGGTTCAGGGGGAGGACGGGCTGATAAAGGGGTTCCCAAACCGTGGTCCGTGGACCTCGAAGCGTCCGTTGGAAAGAGGGCATGGGGCTGCCCAGGGAAGGTCCTGGGGTCACAGCAAAATGAGAATTAGTAGAATTAGTAGCTTGTTTCAGCTTGCTATGTTAGCTGGCATACTCAAACTGACAAAACACAAATTAATTATTAAAAGGTATATGTGGCCTGCTGCGAAGACAAGGGTTTAAGGATAAGACTGCTAGTAGCCTATTCTGTATTTTTTTGTTTAAATCTCATGGAAAGACCAAAACTAACAATATCTTTATAAAAAGGACACCAAAGAAATGACTTGCACTGAGGAAAGAGATGGGTGACAATATCAAAACAGATTTTTGACTGAATACAAACTGGAAATACCAGGCCACTGCCCCAATCCTGAGGTCATGACAGTGCCCACTAGTTACTTCTGTTTGAGAAAGGTGTGATGAAAAATACACAGATCAGCCATAACATTATGACCACTGGCAGGGGAAGTGAATAACAATGACTAGCTGTTACAGTGGCACCTGTCAGTGTGTGGGGTATATTAGACAGCAAGTGAACATTCGGTCCTTAAAGTTGATGTGTTGGAACCAGGAAAAATAGGCAAGTGTAAGGATCTGAGTGACTTTGACAAGGGTCAAAATGTGATGGTGAGATGACTGGGTCAGAGCATCTCCCACACTGCAGGTCTTGGTGGGTGTTCTTGGTCTGCAGTGGTTAGTACCTACTAACAGTGTCTAAGTGTGACCGGTAGACTTCCACGTTGTGTTGTATTGCGTGCGTGTGTGGTGGCTGAAGGACCCAAGAAATATCAGGACTGCTTTTGGAGGCGCGCTCCATTTAATCTGACAACATGAAATGAACAATCAGCTCCTAGCATGTGCTGCTGGACCTCAAGCCCAATCTATATAAAACAATACATCATGTTAGCATACATCATCATCAGAATAAGCTGAGTAATTAACACCGTCAGATATCACAACAGTGTTATAACAATACACACGAGTGTATCCACAGTCATTGTTTACACAGAGGAAGTAAAAAAATAAAGATCTGGGCACAAGCAATAAAAAGATTACAATGGATTATAAAGTGACCTCTTCCCAGTGGAACATATCAAAAGGGAAGAGGGTATGACACAACACCGTATTTATATGACAAATGGTGGGACAGACGCAGAAGAAACAAGGCGGAGCTGGAGGTCACAACCTAAAACACAACATATAGGAGACACTCAGGCTCTGGATGTCAGGTATGAATAAACAGTAATTAAACCTAATAAACAACTTTGTGTAATTATATGGTATAACTTCCATTTGTACTTTTCAAAAGATTTAAATTTATTTGAATCTTTGTTAAAATGGTTGAAAATGAGAAATACTGTACATTGGTTTCCATGAAGAGATTGAGTATTAGTCAGGTGGTCATAATGTTATGCCTGATTGGTGTACAGTTCCCAGCTCTCTTGGCCTGTCTTAAAAATATTTTCATATTTTTACTTGGGACCTGTCTTAAAAAGGTATATGTCTTCAATGGGGTCAAATGGAAATTGGGGCAAAGAACTACAGAGACAGGTCAAAAAATATTTTGAGATGGTTGTTCCAGTGGCCAGTGGCATCATTGCTTCAAAGAATCCCCTGCAGACCAAATAAATATTTTCCCTATATACTGCTTTTATAGCTGTGTCTGTAAAACTGCTGACAGAACCCCCAAGACTTCAAGAAAGGTCAGTTAATGTTTTCTGTATTATGAATTTTTAAATCATAAATATTTATTGTTTGTAAAGCTTTTCCAAAGCAAATAAAAGTTACTTTTATGCATGTGATATTGTGTAAATTAAAGACACTATATGGCAGGGAAAGGAAAACTAATGCTTATGGACATTTAACCACAAAATAGGGAAGAGGCAAAGGTTTTCAATGAGTCTGGTGTACTGTTGTTATAATACATCCATAATCTGGACCCTTTCTAATAAACTGGTTTAGAGCCAGCCTCGACTCCAGAAGCCTCCCAGAACAATGAAATATAAGTGTGTTTTACACCTTATGTCAAGGTTAGGACAGTAAAATATTGTGTGACTATGGACATCTGTAGGTGTCGCCAGCAAACCACATAAGTTTTCATGCCTGGAGATACACAAAGAGATTTACAGACATGATGGTAGTCCAGTTCTCACCTGCGAAAAGAACTTCAGCCTCCAAAAGAATCTCTTTAGTAATGTCTCCTGGAACACAAGCCTAACAGGAAGTATCATTATTGGACAAATCAACATGATTCAGGACGATGATAAAATGACTAAAGACACTTACAAAACAAGTGTGGTTACTGACAGTAAGTTATTTAATAAATGTGAGCACTATTAGTCATATTAACTTTCATTTGAAAACAGACACGCAGTAATGTCACCACGTAGCTCGTGCCCCCTTCTGATGCCAAGTTCTTTGATGATGCAAGAGCCTGTTCAGCTTGAATAATACAGATAATTGCATCACTGGCCTCTTCTGTTGTCTGTCCTCCTCTTAACACACACACACACACACACACACACACCTCCTCATCTTGCTTTGAAGTCGCCCAAGCAGTTTAGCTCATTCACTCCCACAGCCGCATGATAATCCACTGTGTCTGAACAGAACGACTGAGAGGATGTAATGGTTGAGAATCAAACGTCACAAAGAGAGGCAGAAATTCTCAGTGTACTTTTATGTTCTACCGGTGCATTTGTTGTATGAAAGTAGGATAGGCATATTGCTCTCACTTATCAGTTTGGAAACATTTTCATCCTTTTGACACACATATAGACTAGGGTATATTACTTGATTCACAGGGGAAGGAAGTGGCCATGTACAGTACTGGACATTGTTTCAGTTACAGGTCATATCATGCATCTGCAAACTGACTGATGATTGGCTGCCATTGTTGGGCATGTGTAGCCATCAAGTGGCACAAGTTTCACTTAATCTACTGGAAAGCTGTGTAACCCCACCAGACTGATTCTGGTACTGTGGTACCCTGTAAGCAGCATGATGACAAATGGCTGATGCTGTGTTTATGTTGGAAAAAGGGTGGATATGATAGAGCCTTTGAGTCTGAATCCAAGAACAACATGGGCCTGAATCACATCCTGCCAAGGAGTCATCCAGACAGAATTGTTTCATTTAAAAAGCTGGATGGGTTGAAAGAACATCATGAGATCAAAGCCCCATCAAGAGGCAGTATATTATATATACTGTACTTTCTATAGTCACAATTATTGGATGTGGCCTGTTTTAGTAAGCACAGAGTTGACACCACCGCTAATACACATCAATGGAAAAGGTCAGCACAGTCTCTTTTGTTTTCACCCAGTACTCATTCATCAACCTACTTTAACCCTTGTGTTCTGTTAAGGATCTTAACAGTAGGTAGGGTACCCAGGCCAGGAGTAACCAGTGATGGGCCCAGCTTCCTCTCAGCCACCACATCCATCCTGGCAGAGCTCAAAGACTGAGCTTCTCAGAAGCAAAGGAGTGTGGGAGGTTTTCTCCTGTGGTTGGCTGCCTACGTGAAACACACCCTCCAGTGCCAAAAAAAATACAGCAACCCACTTTCCCTCTGAACTGTAAATGACATGTCGAAAGTGAAAACAGTCAGAAATGTGAGGCTTGTCTCTCAGTTTATAATGTGCAGGTGGAAAAATATAACAAAAATACAGCAACAGTGAAGATGTCAAGATGTATTTAAAAGCACACAAATCATTTCTTTCTCCATAGAAACATGCTTTAGTTAGAACTCATATAAACCACATTTCAGGCAGGCTGTATTTTAAATTAATTTTAAGGTGTCAGAAGGATTTTAGTAAAATAGGGATGACTGATTCTCTGCCACCAAGCAACCCAGCTCATTCTTTGAAACCCCAGCTGTGATGAGACTCACTGTGTTACCAACCTCAGGAATGCATTTGTTCAAGGCAGCTTAAAATAGGACTCAATATTATGCCCACATTTCCCCTGGCAGAGGAAGGGAGAGAGAAAGACAAACTAAACAGGAAGTAACAATACTGGGAAAAATAAACTGAGGGATCTGTTTAGAGTATTTGACTCAACATGATCCATGTGCACTATGATAATTTCTTTAACAGGTCTCCCTTATAATTTGAAGCAAAAACACAGTGTAAGGTTAGAAGTGTACAGTAGTATAGAGACAGGAGAGCTTGCATTACTCCAATATATTGGATTTTTGTCTTGTGTTTGTTTGCTTTTGAGGGCAATTCCTATCTGATATCTGTGTTTACAAGAGATTAAATAAGAGAAATAATAAACACTATAATGGAGATTCAATTCTAAGAACAACGTGTATTGTTAATATAAACATCTGCTATCAATTTATCACAACAATAGTAGATTTGATTTGACATTGTGAAAACATTAACTACAGATTAGGAGCACTGCCAAAATTATATAAAATACAAATAAAGCCAAATAAAATCTAATCATGTACAAGTTTGAATCAGAAGTTAAAAAAAGAAAAATAGAATAAAATCTTTAAAAATTCCCTTAAATTTATGAAACTGCATCCATAGCAGGTAAAAACTATAATTTAACATTCAGATACATAAGGTTGCTCCTCCTCAGACATCACTGAAAAGGAGACACTAACAAAAAAACTGAAATGATACCTGAATAGCAGCCATTGTTATTTTTAAACTGAAACATTTGCACTCAAGCAAATCAGCCAGATAAACATCTCAGTCATATCGTCTTTATCAAGGGTCCTCTGGACTGTTGTGTATTGTTTTCACTGTGAGCTGGAGGAGGCATTTGTGACTGTGATGACATTATTTGGAATCAATGAAAGGCAGTCCATATAAGCAGCTGATGTTTGCTTTATTGGCCTAGGATTGTCTGGACATAATGCAAAGTCTCGGTGCTTAACGATGTTCATCGTACATTTATTTGTGACATGTGCAGCACAGAGTATAAATGTGTATACTGAATAAAAGAGAGACATGGGGTCATATGAAAAAAGGCAAACTTTACAGTGGACTTTCAGGACATTTTGAAGAATCTGTTAACACTTTTCTTTTAGAGCATTATCTAGATTCAAAAATATGTCCTTTGACATGAAGGGAGGACAATAAAGAACAGAACTGTGTTCAGTTTTCTTATATAACCTCACATAGATATTCTCTCACCCCAGCACTTCCACGTTTGATTACCAAAGCGATTGTTTTCTCAGCTATAATACAATGCATACAGGATTTTTTTTTTTTTTACATTGAAACATCTGTTACATCAGTTCAAATATTTGACCCCTTTAACAAAATCTGTATAATAACAATAACAAATTTGACCAACAATAAAAGCATTTGCTGTAATAGTCAGAAAGTCCCATCTTTTGCAATGCTTGACTCAGAATGAAAGAATCATGTGCGTCTATTGTACAACGGTTTATATACACAGTGATGAAAAAATACAGACATAACACAAGTGCTTAGGAAACACAAAGTTCATCTGTTGAGGCTATGATTGATAAATTAGACAATTCTGACAGATGCTGTTTTCTCATGTGGATTGGCTGGTGGAATGCTGCCTCCCCATGGCCTAAAACACACACTGCAGGTGTCTTCAAAGATTTACAACTTGTTCTCATAGGGACAACGTTTTTGAGTCCTATTGCACAATTTATCTTCCAGCGATGGAGGCTTATACATTTAACTTTAAAAGGTCAGTGTTTTTTTCTCCACAACTGTTGGCAAAAAAGTTCCAACTACTGTACAGTGTCACATTTCAAATAAATACTCTCCATTAACAAAATGTTGATGAGTATATTAGCCTTTATAAAACTGAAAAACATCTCAACAACTCGGACTCAAAAGGAACCACATAATTGAGCACCAAATTCTGGTGGCAGCTTTGGCTGAAAAAAAGTAAACAAACAAAAACAAATGCAAACAAAATATCAAACGCAGCAATCTGACACCAGCAGGTATTAAATATTTGTATTAAAATCAGCTTTCAAATCCCAAACCCACTTTTTTAACAGGGCCCAGAAGCTATACATATATAGAGATATTTTATGTGGATATTTCTTTAAAAAACACAACAAACTTTTCTGTCGTTTTGATAAATAAAAATAGAAAAGCAAAGAAATATCCGCCTTAGTGTCTGCTGAGTGAGTCCTGCTTCTCGTCCTGTCATAATTTCCCTAGGTGAAAGAGAACTTGGCAAATAACGGCCACCACTCCCATGCTCAGGACCGAAGAAATGGAGATGTCTAACAATCTGCTTTCGTATAGCACAAACTCTGTCTTGTTCTCCTCCACTTTAGCCATGGCCAACAGGCCTTTAGCGGCCCTACACATCATGTTTATGCTAGGTGGGTCCATAGGCGGGTGTCCCATATGCAGCAAGCTATGAGGGTTCTGCTGGTACTGTGCCATGCTAACACCATCCTCCAAGAACCCTACCAAATTACCCACACTGCCCTTCTGCATTGCTATGGCACGTGCCGCTGTGGGGTCTCCTTGTGCCAGGTGGGAGAGGACAGCCACCGCCATCTCTCTGTACACCTGGGCTTTCCTCTGACCCACATAACGCACCAAGACAGTGAAGAGTTTCTCCTGTCGGCTAAAAGGTGGCGTAGCTAGCAGTAGGTCAACGTTGCCATCCTGGATGCTCAGCTTACAGAGGCACTCCAGCACCAGCCTCTGAGGAGTCAGCTGGGAGTGGGGTGTTGCTGACAGGAAGGGATCCTGGGCTTCAGCTGAAGGGCACACCATCCAGTGGAGAAGGCCATCCAGGATGGGGAGGCAGATAGTGTCTGGATAGGTAGAAAGATCCAGCTGGCCAGAGATGTTGGCCAAAGTAACCATGGCATTCTCTCTGAGCAGACCCAGACACTCCCACCACCACTCCTCTTTGCTACTCGACAACCCCTGCTCCTGCTGTTCATCTTTTTGGTAGCTCATGGGTGAACTATTCCTCTCAGGATGCTGGTGATGCAGCAGGAGCAGCCTACCCAGAAGAAGAACTAGCGCAGGGTGGTGTGACATATCTGAGTCATTCCCCGGGATAAAAGACAGACTCCGAACTATGTTGGAGATGCAGAGGCACCGCCTCGACAGTGAGTTCTGCCATGCAGAGACTGTGTAGAGCGGCGCCTCATCTAGACAGCGGGGCTCATCCTCCAGTAAGGTGATGTGGTCCTGCTCCCCATCTGGATGCACCCTGAAGGGGTAGGATGGCAAGGAGCGCGCTGGGTGGGCGTAAGACAGGGCATCCACTCGAGCACATAGAACATCATCAATAGTAGCAGTGATATGTTTCACTGGTTGTTTCTTTTCATTGTCCACCTTATTTTCCTGTTTGTTCTCTTGTCTTATTTTCTCATTTGTTCTGACAAGTGGTTCAGTCTGGGGTTCAAAGTGTGTCTGAATGTGTGCGGTGGAGTCTCCTCCACCAGCATACCAGTGTAGCAGCCCGCTGGTAAACTCAGTGACATAACCTAAGTGCTCTGTTGTGTCTTCAATCAGATCCTCTTTGTGGATGATCTTGATGGGGAGCTTGTCATATTTGCTGGCTTGTTTAGGTTTAGGTTCCAGCTGTGTGACAGGCTGGTCTGCAGACTCTTTTTTACTCTCTGCTCCATTGTCACTCTTGTCTTGTTCTTTCCGCTCTTTTTCTCTTTCTACTTCATTCTTGTCATCCTTCTTTTCACTCACCCCAGACTCCTCTATCTCACCATTCACCTCAGCTGACACTGGCTCTGCAGTGAAGGGAGGAGCTTCCTGTACTTGCATCTCTGCTGCCAAGGAGGGCTCAGGTTCAGGGTGGACAGTTGAGTCTGTTTCTTGGTTAGGGATGGGTTCTTTTTTCTGGTTAGAAGTAGGCTCCAAAAGGCTTTTATGACCTACAGTCCCTACCTCAAACTCTTCCAGGATGCCAAAGATCTCTATGAGGCATCGGCGGAAGTACTCTACGATGAGCTCAAGGAAGCCAGGCAACTAGTTAGACAGAAGTACAACATCATCAATGTCAACAATGCTGAAGGTGATCAGACGTGTTGCCAACTGGCTCCACATTATGAGTGTGTCTTTACTATGCATCAACGTATTTTAACTATTTAGAATAGCAATGACTTTTGAAAATTCTTACTATTACAAGAGAAAACGTTTATCTAGAAGATGAGGTCTAAAGCAATCTCTAGCAGGTTAAATAGATCTCTTCTGTCACTCATCTGTGAGGTGTAGTCATCAAAGTGGTTTTACCTGAGAGAGGCTGAAGGAGGCCACAGTGCTGTCATCATACTGGATTTTTTTTGAACCAGAGAGGAAAATATATGGTGATCAAATTTTGCCCAAATGATATAATGGACACTGATCAGAGGAGATAATTGTAATTCCTGTTCAAAATGTTGACTCATAAAATACTGGGGCTCTATCTTACCAGTGTCCTTGGAGGTAAGCTTGCGTCGAGGCTTCAGAATCGGCATGGAGGCCTCCACTGATCCTGGAGGGTAGTTCAGGTCCTGTCTGAGGTTGGGAGGAAACTGACCAAGGGGTACTCCTGCTTGTGATCCCATCATGGCCATTCCAGGTTTAGGCATCTTCATGGGTGACATGAACAGTGCTTTGCTGGGTGACATCCGAGAGTCCATGGAGCGCTGGTAGGACCCTGGACTGGGTGCTCTGGGTAGGTGGTTTGCCATGGATGGGGAGTTGGAGTAAGATGAATGCTGGCGTGAAGACAGAGGAAGCATGCCCCCTGATGATGACATGTAGGGAGGCTGACGGTGCCACTGCTCCTGCCCAGGCCGGCAGTCCATGTCATCTCTACCAACCGACCCATAAGGTGGCATTTGAGATGGCGGCCCTTGACGGTTGGGGTAGGGATAGTTGGGTTCTGTCCTGGCTGGCCACATGTTGGGGCCATCAATTGCATGGTTGGGAGTAGGGCCCCCGCCCATCATACTGTTCTGGCTCTGTCCTGAGGAGGCCATTCGATCTCGAAGGTAGGGGAACTGTCCCTGGATGGGTCTGTGTTCAGGACCTGAGTACCCACCACCATAGTGGTTGTACATGTCTGGCTGCTGGTTGGCATACTGCATGGCATACATGTCACTCTCATGTCTCTTGGGTGGGGGACCATACATACTGTCCATGGGCCGTTTGTAACCCTGCTGAAGCAGATTGTAATGATGTTTTTTGTTAATAACTGTTCTATCAGAACACAAAGACATGGCATATTCATTCTCATTATTTCTTTGCTTTAGTAGTACTATGTGTGATATGTAAAAGTACATCAAAACATACATACTAAAACAACAGAAGGATGAAAGAATGACCACAGAGATTAATCAGCAAAAATGGAAAATGACTGCAACTATTTTAATCCCAGCAGCGAGAGGCAGAGAAACAACATCTGGTGGACTTGGATGAGCTTTCAGCCCAACTGTATTAGATAACATCAACTTAAGAAGTATTATTTGTAAGCAGGAATCTGATCAAAAGTAACAGTCTATACCACAGTTAGTTAGCTAACACTGACTCAGTGGTCAGTGAACCATTGATTAAGCCTGTTCATGAACATGTCAACTGCTTCCACTCAGCATAGTAAAATGTAGTGAGTACATACAGAGCTGTCTCTCACCTGCTGCTGTGGGTACATCCCAGATGGATGCATCCCATATGGCATACCGGGATACTGCTGACCGTAGCCATCATGTCTGATGTAGATGAGATACGGAAAGGACTATATGACTCACTAATTTGGTTAGTGAAACTACAAACATTTTTCTTGACTTTCTACACACATGTATTCTGCAAACACACACACACGCTAACCTCTGCTGTGAAGGGTATCTGCTGGGAGAGTACATGTTGCCCTCACTGTTGGAAGGCCCCAGGTTGTTCTGACTCCCAGGGGGACCCATGCTACCCTCCATCCCCATGACATGGTCCGGTCTGAGGATCAAACAACAGGAATGCTTTGGCCACACACCACTGACATACTATCTATTGTAAACATACCATATCCTATATACAGTGGCAAAAAAGTATGTGAACCTTTTGGAATTTCATGGTTTTCTGCATTAATTTGTCATAAAATGTGATCTGATCTTCATCCAAGTCAAGAGTACTTTGGGCCCATGTGAGGTAAATGTCAAACAACATATAACAAGGTGTAACACCACCTCTTTCTGGTATTACAGTACATGTCCCTACCTCCTGTCATAGCCTGGTCCATACGGATACTGTGACCTTTGGTTCATGCTCAGGGCAGATGGGGGTCGACCATACATGTCCTGCATACCACCACTGGGCATCTGGCCTGGCATGTAGGGGTCAGCTCCTGCCACTGTAGAGGAAGAAGGCAAAGGAGGTAAATCTATCCCTCCATCTATTCCTCTTATCCTGACAGGGTTCATGGGGGGCTGAAGCCAATCCCAGCCGACATTAGGCAAGAAGTGAGGTACACCCTGGACAGGTTGTCAGTCTATCACAGGGCTGACATTTAGAGACAAACAACCACATACACCCACACTCACTCCTTTGGGCAATTTAGTCACCAATCAACCTAAGCTGCATGTCTTTGGACTGTGGGAAGAAGCTGGAGTACCCGGAGAGAACCCACGCAGGCACAGGGAGAACATGCAAACTCTGCACAGAAAGACACTGGATTGGCTGGTGCTCAAACCAAGAACTTTCTTGCTGTAAGGCGACAGCAAGAAAGGAGGTGAATACACCACAAAATATCAACAAAATGAACAAAATGTATAGGAAAACATGTATTGTTGTAGTCCTTAACAATCTAAAACATTTGTCTAACTGAGAGTGTTCTGGAAATATGCAACAGAAGAAGAAGCTTTATTTTATTGTCATTGTAACACGTACAACCAAATTTTGTTTGAAGCCGAGGGCCCCAGGCCGCTGTGTGCGTATGTGCCACCATCACGGGAAACTTGGGGGCAGTCATTGTCTTGCCCAAGGACACTTTGACATGTGGACTGCAGGCACCGAGATTCAAACCTTCAACCCTCCGGTTGGGAGATGACTGCTCTACCCTCTGCACCACTGTCGCCCCAACAGATGCTTAAAGTTGTTCTTTTACCTATATGAACCATGTTTTCTTCTAACCAGCAGGTGGCAGCATTCCTCCATGAATATTCACCACTTTCCCTGATGAAACCTATTGTTTTGAGGCTGTAGCTGTTGTTATGCAGCTAACATCCACCATATTATTCATTCAGACTCCATTCTCTTGAGCCTTCAGAGGAGCCGCCATCCTTTCTAAAACTACTGTTTGTTCTGAAAACTAAACCACCTGAGTTGGCCAAAACAGGTGCTTCTCAGCAGGGTAGAAAGGATGAAAGGTTGAAAACAAGGAGGATGAAAAGGATGAATAAAGTCAGGATGAAACAAAGGCTAAGCTACAAGAACATCAGATAAGCTGGTGTGTTTTCGATAAAGGGATGTGTTGTTTAACAAAGAGATCTTATCTTCTTTCATAGTTCTAATAGTAAAACACGCACACATCTGTCCTCATCTGAGACGACATGGTGACTAGACAATGAATTAGACTGATGAAACATACTAAAGAAAAATGGCTTTGGGATACATGAGCCATTTTAATGAACCATGTAAGAGTGGAGTTTTAAATTTAAATCTCTTTGTTTAAAAGTTTATATGACAATACAAAACCTCATTTTTTTGCAACACAGCAACTGGTTTATTGAACCAAGTCACAAAATACAGTGTAAAACTAGGCAGATAGGTCCAGGTCTTAGAGTTTGGGTGACCGGGTGTCACAGTGTGTGTCGCACTCACTCTTCCTCATCCCGGCAAAGGGGTCCTTGGCATCGTACTGCATCCTCATCATCATGTCAGGCATACTGAGGCTCTGCTGGTAAGACGCTGAGGGGGGCAGAGAGGGAGCACGCTTCTGGAAGGCGGGGTCACTCACCTCTGAGAAGGGGTCCTGTATGTTCACAATGCTCCTGGACAAAGCAGGGAGGTGAGGGAGGGGGGAGAGAAGAAGTGCAGACCATGGGTTAGATAAAACACTTACTAGAAATAATATAATATGAAGGAGTTCTATTTTAAAATGATTTTATGCATAATATTATGAAACATATTCTACTTTTATAACATACTCCTGATTAAAGATGACCCCCTGTTAGTGTGATATTATTTTACTGCTTATTATCTTAGATGTATTACTGTAAGCCAGTATACAGTATTTGCTGTAGATGGTTTAAGTAAAACAAATTTTCACAATTTAATATATTGTTGGGTAGTTTAATCTATAACAATGCACAACATTTTATAACCTTATAAAGTCTGTATGTAAAACTTTTGTCTTAAAAGTAACTAGAAATCATAGATATAATAAATGTAGTAGGATTAAAAAGTACAATACATCGCTCTGAATTGTAATGAAGTAGAACTACAAAGTAGCAGAAAATAGAAAACCCAAGTCAAGTATTTCAGAATTGCACTTAAAAAATAAAACCATCCACTGCTGTTTGTTGTTTATTGTCATGCACACATAAATCACTGCTCATACATAATATCACAAACAAAGCAAACACAGAATGTGGTCTCCTCTCTCAGGCTCTACAGACAAAAAGGCTCCCCACCTAAAAACAACTGTGGTGATTTACAGGCATCCAACAAAAAATCAGCAGAGATGAAGGACACGTTTACTTTTACAGTGAAAGACTTGAATCATCATATAATGATAAAAAAGTGATGGACTTCTTCGAGTTCCCTTAAATCACTTCAGAGGATTTTTCTGTGAATGGTCATATGTAACGGAACATAATTTAACTATTCATGTACTGTAGAGATCATAGCCTTTACACCATACTTGTTCATGAGACAAAGTTAGGTTTTTACCACACATCAACAGACAATACTTGTTTATGCATATGGAAAAAACTGTGCTCAGTAACATAAATATGATACTGTGGCTAAAAAGAAAGTTTAAAAAATCAAGTTAATTACGTAATCATAAAAAGCACTCCTACCACTACTACTGTAAATGCTGTAACAGTACTAATATTGGTAACCATAGCAGTACCAGTTACAGCAGTAGTAAGCATCAGAATCACTGATAGCAGCCTTTACTGTAGTAGTAGGACGGTATGTCTGTGTGGTACCTGTTGGGGGGCAGTGGTGTGACCTGTCCCAGAGGGGTAGTGGCGGGTGTGGGGGGTTTCAGCTCCCCTGCTGCCTCCACTGTTGAGCTGCTGCCAGAGGACTGGGGCGTCTGTGGGCCCTGGAGGGAGCCGCCTGAATTTGCTGTTAGACAGAAGGAGCCTTATTATTCTTACAGCTTTATGATTCAAGAAATTCACAGTGGAAATTGTAACACATTCAAACCGCGGGGCTCCCCCGTGTCTTCAGATATGATCTTCAAGGTGGTTTGAGTTAGAGCAGCCATAGAGGACTTTTGCTGCAGAAAGGTGCTGTATTAGGGAGATAACTCTAGACTTAAGGCCAAAGCGCCAACAGTGATATTCTACATGAGAACTGAGCCTGAGCAAACAGCCTATAGCCACGAACCAAACAGCCACGAGGAGGAGACACAGATATAGGAAGTCTACCTCGTCTGGAATCACCCACTTGGACAATCGGCTGATGACTTCCTGGTAAAAATAATCCCCTCACACGGAGACTCCAAACTGAGGTTCAAACTGGGTTAATGTGCTCTTTTGTTATGACACCATATTTCAGTGAATTTCTCAGTTCAAATAACTAGAAAATTATAGGTGTGCAGAGCTACAAGAGCCCACCACACAATGAGCCCCCAGCCAGAAAAAAACAAGGGATACAAATTCCCAGAGGTAGGTTTAATGGAAAATGTGAACCGTTCAGCTAAAAGATGACAAAGATGGAGGAAAAGAGAATATGAAAGTATCCTAATGAGCATTTAGCGTAAGAAGGCTCTCTCTGAAACGGCCTCAGTGGCCTTTCCCTGCACTGCACGTTTCCACAGGAAAAATAAAAAAGAGGAAGGACTTAAGCTTTAAAAATTCATGTTAATTCTGAATTATTCAGTGACACCCTAAGTCTTTACATCATAGGGGATGGAAATAAAGAGATAGAGACACAGGAAGAAATGATCCCATGATGAAGCCCAGAGGTAGGAGAGAGGGCAAAGAAGGGCAAGGAGAATTAGGAATACTTCACTTCACTGGGGATAGCCCCACTTCAGACAAACATGCACACATATTCACATGTGGAGAAATGCAAGCAATGGTGGGGTTTGCCAAGGTCAGAGGGTCTGCCATTCCTCAAGAGCAGGAGGCTAGACAGACAGATACATAATAAGGAGTGAGTGGGGGCATAAAGATGGAGGGGAGGTGGAGTAGCACATGAATTTAAGTGCCCTCTGTTCCACATTTAGACGGAGAGAGAGTGGGTGACATAATCCAGAAGGGTGACAGTGGTTAAGAGGCCGAGCCAGTTTTGTGAATCAAAGGTGACGGTGAGGTTGAGTTTGTTTACGTTCTACATTCCAGTCCTCATTAATCATTCCCTAC